CAACAGTCAGCGTTAAAGTATTCTCCCAAATTATTTGACTATTTGCTTTTAAATTGGAATTTCTAGTATAGTATCAAATTTGTGATGCTTAGAGTTTATTTCATGTGCATGTGACTCACCATCAAATCGCTGACTTCTTTTCATCTAAAAGCTTAAACTTTTTAATTCAACTCTCTGATTCTAACCGGTAATGCCACGAGAGTATCCCAAACTTTTTTCATTCGAACAGGTACCATACACCCAATTAATGATTAGTAAGTTAGTAGGAGTCAGTCGAATTGAACTGCAATAGGAAGGTTACAATTTTACATTAAAGATTGGGAGAGGTGAAATATTTTGTTTGTGTTGTTGAAAAGGACTCGTTGTATTACGAGTAGTTGGCACAGGTGGCCAGAAGAATCTGAGTTTCCTTTACACTTCTATGGCTGACAACTTAGTAGGTTTCACTTTCCATCACTCGTCTCATTGTCCACGATGTATCAGGTTGAGTTAAATTTCCGGAACTTGAGTCTAGACAAGTTGAGTTAAATTACGGATAAAAGATAAAGTTTTCTTTTGCATGTGCCACGCCATACATCTCGAATGGTTCATTATCATATTTTCGAAAAAGAACATGAATTTTTCACAGCCTATCTCTTGTGAGTTACTTCCTTTTGTGGTATCGTATCGAAACAACATCAGTTCTAATTTTAAATGGAGATCAACAAGTAACCACAAAATGCTTTTAAGTTCGAACATATATACCAAAAAATTTGAAAACCTAACACTTCTTTCTGTTTTGAACCCCCCCCCCCCCAAAAAAAATCAAAAACTCTTCTTTCTATGCCTCCCTTATCGCCGCCCCTGCCTTGTCCTCGCATTATGCTTTCATCGTCGCCCGGCCCCTACGATCATCACATGGCGTCGCCTCCACAGCCTATCACCTTTGCTACTCTCTCTCTCTCTCTCTCTCTCAATGTCAATGTAGCCATTGTGACCTTAGAATGAGCTCTAGGGACATTGGCACTCCTTCATGCGTGTTAGAATATTTAAATGTTAAACAACACATTCATTTAATAGTTTAAATTTTAGAACAATTGGCAATGGTCCTTCAATATCTCATATGGTATCAGAACAATAGGCCTTAAGTTCAAATCTTTTCAGACCCCTTGTTTGCCTCTCCATTGATTAGTTACACGCTTAATCTTAGGCCAACGTATGTGTGACTAGTAATGTTAGAATAGTTGGCAGTAGTCCCACAAAATCTCATAATGTGAGAGAGAGAGAGAGAGAGAGAGAGAGAGAGAGAGAGAGAGAGCTTAATAAATCGCATATTGCTTGCGGATGGAATTTATGTTCTTAATATGCATGTGGTCTCCCTCTACCTATTAATTTAAACTTTTGCATTAGACATTATAACATGGTATCAAAGCTAGATTCTGGACTAATTTATTCCTCATGTGTGGGCCCTCCTAATCCCCGTATGCGTAGGAATATCTTTGGAAAGAGAAATGGCTATCTCGTAAATAAATGCACCAATTTATTGAGTTGATGGAGTAAACTTCTAGTTTAAAAAGTAGTTGCAATTAGGGTGAAACTTCGGGGTATATACTTTTCCTATTAAAAAAAACAGGAATGCCTTGATTCGGAAGCAATTTGATGATTTCCCAATTGAAACTGATGTTAGTTCCAAGCTCAAATGAAGTCCAATGGTGAGCACCAATTCAGAGGAGACCTTGGAACCGGACCGAACTAGCATTGTGCAGTCTGGTTCGGTCTGGTTCCCACGGGAAACGGTCCAGCCCTTGGTCCAAACAATTGTGAACTAGCACTGTGTAGTCCAATTCCAAGGTCAAGGTGCTAAACTGGATTGATCCTAGACTAAACCCATTTTAACTGTGTCTGTTATTTGTTTTCTTTCTAGGTGGTTAGAATTTGGAACAAACTTTTATAGATAAATGAGGAATGAAGTTCTGTAACTCGTGTTTTATGTTACACGTTTTAAACTATTTGTTATTTATTTTAATTTACATGCTCATCGTTTCTTGGTTGTTGCTTTTGGCAAGTGAAGATTTTTGCTGTTCTTTTACCTTTTGTGTTGCTTGACTAAAGATGAGTTAGATGATTCCTTGTTTAGAATTTTGTTTGTTTTTTTACCGATGTTTCAATTATCGCCATTTTGTTACTCAATATCGCGGTTCTAAATATTATATGTTAATAGATATGTACTTTGAGAAAGTAAGTTTATCCTTTCAAGGAATACAAAAACTGAAACAAAAGAAAAAAGAAGAATTGACCGGTTCTCTGGACCAACCCTAGAACCGAACCGGACTAGCAGGGTCAGTCCAAGATATACAAGATCGATTTTAGGTTCCAAAATCTGGGAATCGACCCTCTGTGGGTAGGTTTGAGATTCCAAGATTGGATTGACCCAATCATGGAACCGTTCACCCCTAAAATTGTCAAGTAAAGCACACGTAGCTTTCATAACTAACATGATAAGATTAAAATTTCACCTTATCGGTCACGTTGATAATGATTGTATAAACACCAAAAATCGCTAGTCTTCTGGGACAAATTAGCATCCAAAATTTAATACCTAAACTAACTCTAGCTCAATGAATCTTGATGTTACTGCTAAACGTTTGGCACCTCTTGTCGATCTACCACTGTATGGCCCTTGCGCAACTTTTGAGCAAGGTCACATATTCGAGAGTGACTTTGGACCACATAATCCTCGCGAATTGATTAATCGATCAAACGCATTTCACAATCAATGGTCGTCGTGCCAGAAGGAGAGTCTGGTGGACGAGCTTTATGTAACACGGAGTCACGACTTCCTGAAGCCTCTCCTAAAAACTTAAGTGGCTTAAAATGTGGAATCCTAAAATTATCGTCTGTCAACATCATTGCTGGTGGACAGAATAGAAAGCTTTATTTCAGTTGATCCGGAAGACAAAGAAGTTGGAGGAAACTAACTCGGGTCGTCGTACAAAGATTGGGCCTAGATTTTTTAAGTGTCCAATGTGTTGGCCCATCGATTGGGCTTTGTCATTGGCTCATGGGCTTATTGACAGCTCCAGCTTATTTTTATGAATTCGGATCTGAAGTTCAACTCATCTGATCTTTTTTTCTCTTTTCCATATTTCAAATATTCCAGAAAGTGAGCGGGAAAATGTTCATTGTATGAGTTCGATAGTACTTGGCTTTAGCTGATAATCTCAATCTTCGTCATCCCGCAAATGTTATAGGACGGCGATTAGTTAGTGCAAATATGTTTCTTTTGCTATGAGCACATCTTTGTTGAGAAAGTTAATCGCACAAGCATCCATTTCCTCTTGACCGAATTGAGAGGAGTTTTGTGCAGATAGCAAATTGTGTTTGGTGGGTCCATCTGTTTATGCTTCAAGGAGAAAAAGCTTAAGGATCATTCTTTAGAATTTCTCTTGGGCCATTGATGTATGTTCCCCTCTGAGGATATGTTTGGTCTACCCCAAAAAACTCCTAACAGAATAGAAATTATCCTATCTAACGTTTAAAGACACCTTTGTATTAGAATAAACCCCGATATTTCTTGATAAAATCCTAAGTACCTTATCAAGGACCCAAGGGTGAGACGATTAAAAAAAATTTAAAAAATCAAGGGGAAAAAACAAGGAGGCAAAACTCCTTTTGCCCTAGGTGAGATCAACAATGGCGCCACCATAAACGTCGTTGATGAAAACCGTTAGGGAGGTTACCTGAAAATAGGTAAAGGTGCCAGGCGACGCGGGGACGGGTCTCATATTCTTTGTTCCCGCCCCATGAACTAAATATATGTCTCGTCCTGCCCCGCCTAGCCCCATACTTTTATTGGGCCTTGGCCAACTTTAATTCTAACACCTATCAAAGAGTACATTAGTATCTCCTCTTCAATTTTTTCCTCCGGTAGAAATAATTGTTAGATAAGCTGTCCAATTATTTCGATCAATGAAATTATTGTTTTAATTATTGACATTGTGTTAAATTTAGGAATTTGCTTACTCAATAGGCTTAGTCGTGTCCAACTTTACATACACCGTCCACTGAAAAATGATGCATAACAAACGTGCCTTGTATTTTTCATATGCAAAATAACCCTTCACCATGCCCTACCACACCATATCTCTCTCTCTCTCTCCGCCAACATGACTAGCTGGTACATCAACTTATCATTGACGAGATCCAAAGATCATATGTGTAGGTTTCGTCCGTCGATGGAAAAGACGAAAGGCGGTGCGACAATTTACAAAAATGGGGAAGGAAGGCAGTGGCATAGTGGGGGTGGAGATGGCATGGTTAAGAGATTAATTTTGTCAAGGCAATGATGAGGCCGTTGCTTGGCGGGGGCGACAGCGGGCGGAGGCTACAAGAGGGCTAGTCTGAGGAGTGGAGAGACCAGGGGGAGGAGGGAGGGAAGTGAGCAGAAGTTTTGGTTTTGAAATTTATTCATGTAAATCATACATAACACAAAATCTCACATGACATTTTTTATAGAAGGTTTACCTAAAATTGGGTAGGACCTAAACCTATCCAGCTTTTTATCTGTTTTTTAGTACTGCTATATGAGCCATCAGATATCAATACAAATTAAATCGCCTCAACAATATCCTATCTTATGGATATGTCGAAATGAAATTCCATTAGATTATATGTAAACTTAAACACGATTAACCTAGATTAATTTTGTGTCATATATAGAAATTAACTCCTCTGCATATTCTTTTAATAGTTATGAGTGTAAAACAACCATATGCTGTCCCCTTTCTTCTAGAGACGTGTAGGATAAAAATCGACCTGAGACAAGGACCTCCAACCTTTTTTTCACTCTATAAATATAGACTCCCGCACCAAGCAAGAGCAACCCTTCGTATGATCAAATCTTCTCTATATGATATTTTCTTATCATCATCTTCTCTCAAACCCTATTCACATTGCATCCACTCATACACACAAACTCTCTCTCTCTCTCTCTCCCACCTTGAGCACCGAACTAGAGAAAGATGGACCAAACTAACCATCAAAAGCTGAGTCGTTTCACAAAGCTGTTACTCTCCATCTCTGTCTTCTCGCTCTTGTCATGGAGCTCCAATTTCCTCTCTTTCCTCCCACCGTGGCACTTCCACCTCTCCCCCTTCCCGCTCCGTCTCGTCACCCCCGCCGTCAGCAAGAACTGCATCTTCCTACTCTGCAACGGCATCCTCGTCTTCCTCGCGCAGGACTCGGGCTTTATCGGCACCAAGACCAGGTCCCGGCACAGCACCACCAATAAAGATCCTCCCAAAGAGACTTTGTACGTGATGGAAAATAAGTTGCTCGACATGGACATCTACGACGGAGTTTTCCCTGACGTTATGCAAGAGGATTTCGCCCTTGGAGAAGAAGCCAAAACATTGAATAACAACAACAATAATCATGAGGATTGCGCGGTCGAAGTAGAAATAGGAAACGTGTGTTTTCATACGGAAGGATGTGCACGGTACAACGATGACGACAACAAAGAAGAAGAACAAGAAGATAAGATCGGTTTTTCGACATTAGAAGCGAGAAACGTAGTCGCAATATCTGATCCCGATGACGATGAGGAGTTAGATGAATGTGGAGGAGAGAGAGAGGATGCAACTATTGAAGATTACAAAAATGGCATGGAGATAAGGTATGGGGATAATGTGATGACGGTGGAGGAATTGGACAAGAAGTTCGACGATTTCATTCGGAGGATGAAGGAAGGAATCATGATCGAAACGCAGCAACATCAGCAACAACTTCTCTGGTCTAGTGTGTAATTACATGCTAATCAAAGCACCAGTTCTTGAAGTATATGTGACAAATATTAAGGATGGATAGTTCCAAGGATACACTTGTTTTATGGATCGTATAGTTTTGTATAATGGCAATAGGTACCTATTTCTGAATAATTTTCCTCGTGTCCCTTCTTCTATATATCTTGGCCTTAATAATAGCGAAAAGAAATACGTATTCTATTTAAACTATCTTAATGGGATCGAACCAAAGACTTTCTATTCTGACCACATCCTGTGGAAAGTCAACACATTACTTGCATGGGTGTAATTGAAATTATATTTTCACAATAATTAAATCGCAAACATTGGTGCAAACATGAAGATGGGATTGTAATGTTTTGCATGGAAAAATATTTAAAAGTAGCACTGTCAAATGAATTGGTCGGGTCGGGTTTGAGTAAGTTGAAAATGGGTCTAATTCAAATTGACTTAACCCATTTTCATCCTATATGATGTTAATGACTGGTACCTGATCCCATCTGTACATAACTCTAGTCAACCCAAATAACTCATATTTAACTTGAAAGTGCTTTTGCTATCAACTGGAAACAAAGCTTTATCCCTTTTCAAGATTAATATTACTTTTTTCACAATACCCAAAAGATTATAATTAATTAATTAGGAAATATCGATAGAGTATCATATGTGAATTTTGGGATCAGATCGATTTAAGACGATGCCTTGAGTTCATCAGACACTTAGAGCTCATGTGAAAGTGATTGTCGTGGGTGATTTTGATTGTGTGGATTGCATGAATTGATGAATCACAACTAACATCAAATGCTACTATTCTTGGCTTTCTAGTTTCTAGGGTTAGGTTGAATCACAGCCATATATATCCTAGGCCAATTTGGCATTTTTTGGCTAATGTAGATGTCATGTAATCAATAATAACCACTATATTTGATTGATGGACCATCTAACGGTCTAAGAAAGAATCATTTACTTAATTTCTTTTTGTTGTCGCGTAGGATTATTCTAATGTTAGGATTCGCCACACAATCTAAAAAAAATAGAGAGTAAAAAAACGAGAAAGAGAATCGAGATACAAGGTTTTTATTCTGGTTTACCCTTAAATTAGAGCTACGCCCAGCAGAGAATTCCACTATAATTAACACCTCGTACCTCTCTATTACATCTCTCAATTACAAGATAATTCGATTCAAAATAGGAAACGTCTTTCTATAAAACCTATTCTAATTACAAAACCTATTCTAATTAAGAAACCTACTTCAATTAGGAAATCATTTAATTAGAAAACCTATTCAAAATAGGAAACTTAATTGAATTAGGAAACTTTTCTTTTCCGGGCTCAAACTATAAAAGCCCTCTTACGGCTCGAGACCGGCGCTTTCGCGACCCTTGCCAGCTCACCAGGGAGTGGGACCCCCGTGCCTTCCCGTCAATGGGGAGTATGAATCACACCCCAACATTCTCCCACTTGGTGAATACTCCACATGCTTCTTCAAACCCAACGCAGTTGGACACCATTCAAATTTTTCTGCACTCACTGCCTTGGTCAAAAAATCTGCACTATTCACCTATGTGTCAATTTTCTCCAGCACTACAACTACAACCTTTTGTTCCACTTTATCTTGGATGACATGATATTGTATGCTGATATACATTCTTCTTGCATGAAATCCAGGATTCTTAGCCAAGAATATAGCACTCTGGTTATCACACCCAATATTTACTCCTCCTTGTATAAAACCAAGTTCTTTACACAATATGCACATCCAGATTACTTCCTTATTAGCATGAGTAAGGGCCATGTACTCTGCCTCAGTAGTAGATAAAGCAATCGTGCTTTGCCTCTTGCTCATCTAACTCACAACTCCACCGAATAGAGAAATAACAAATCTGCTGGATGACCTTCTACTATCAATGTCACCTCCCCAATCAACATTCACGAAACACTTCAGTTCTAACGTTTGTTGTCCCTTTGAGCTTTCCATGCCTTCATAACATAGCTCAAAGTCAGATGTACTACGAAGATAACAAAGCACCCGCTTTACTGCCATCTAATGCTTTTTCCCCGGATTGGACATATATCTGCTCAATACTCTCACTGCTTGAGCAATATCTGGACGAGTACATACCATGGCATACATCAAGCTCCTAACTGCGCTTGCATATGGAACTGTTGCCATCTCTTCAGCTTCCTCTTCAGTCTTAGGACACTGGAGTGCTGATAACTTGGAACTTGTGGACATGGGGGTCTTCACGGGTTTACAGTCAGCCATATTGAATTTTTTCAACACACTTTCAACATACTTCTTCTGACTTAGCTATAACTTTCCATTCTCACGCTCCCTTTTAATTTGCATGCCTAAGATGAAGTTTGCTGGGCCTAGATCTTTCATCTCAAATTGTTTTGCCAACAATCCTTTCACCGTGCTAATCATTCTCAAACTATTTCCAATTAGCAGCATATTATCAACATATAAGGTTAAGATAACAAAATCATCCTCTAACCTTTTCACATAGATGCAATAATCAGCATCACAACGAACAAAGCCAAGCTTCAAAACATATCAGTCGAACTTCTAGTACCACATCCTTGGAGATTGCTTCAGGCCATACAAAGACTTGTTCAGTTTGCAAACAAGATCTTCTTTTCCTTTGAACACAAATCCTTCTGGTTGCTTCATATAAATATCCTCCTCCAAGTCACCATGGAGGAATGCTCTCTTTACATCAAGATGCTCTACCTCCAGATTGTATGCAGCTGCTACAAATAAGACAAGTCTTATGGAATTTAATTTAGCAACAGGAGAAAAAGTCTCACCATAATCGACTCCTTCTATTTGTGAGTATCCATTCGCAACCAAACGAGCTTTATATCGTTCTATCTCTCCATCTGCAGATATTTTCTTCTTAAACACCCACTTGCAACCAATTGCCTTTCGATCAGTAGGTAGCTTTACCAGACTCCACGTTCCATTTTTATCTAGTGAGTCCATCTCATCTTTCGTGGCTTTCTCCCACTGTTTGGCATCTTCCGCACTTCTTGCTTCCTTAACAGCACTTGGATCATCATATATAACAGTCATAGCACAATTCTCATTACTGGCAAACAAGGTATACCTCTCTGGTGGTTTTCTCATCCGTGTGGACCTCCTTAAGACCGGTTCAGGTGGTGCTTCAACTTCAAACTCAGTTTCAGAATCTGCTACATCATCCGCATCCTCAAGCTCATTAGCTTCAGAATCTGACTTTTCTGTTCCAGCTAGTGTAGTCTCTGTCTTTTCCTTTAAACTAACATCTAACTCAACCGTCTATGGTTTTCCAGGAGCTTGGCAAACAATTTGATTTGTCGTAGATTCCCTAAACACCACATCCTTGTTGTAGATGATATGTTTAGTATCAAGATTCCACAGCTTATACCCTTTGACACCATCCTTGTACCCAATGAAGATGCACTTCTGTTACTTGCTCTCAAGCTTGTTCCTCTTTTCCTTTGGCACATGTACATATGCTTCACAACCAAACAGTCTAACATGGGATATGTTTGGCTTCTTTTCAAACAATGTCTCAAACGGTGTCTGATCCTTCAAAGTTGATGTAGGAGACCTGTTTTTCAGATAACACGTTGTAGCCACTGCTTCTGCCCAAAATTCAGCTGCTAAGTCTGCACCACTTAGCATACTTCTTGCCTTTTCCATGAGAGACCGATTAAGCCTCTTTGCCACCCTACTGTGCTGAGTGTATAGGGCATTGTCTTCTGCCTGGCAATGCCATTGGTCGCGCAGAATTGATCAAATTTTGCTGAACAAAATTCTCCTCCATTATCAGTCCTCAAAACTTTGATTTTTCTATCAAACTAATTTTCCACCAAATCTTTGAACTTACGAAATTTTTCAAGCACATCATCTTTCCTTTGTAGAAAATATATCCACAAATATCTGGAAATATCATCGGTAAAAGAAACATAATATCTTGATTTTCCAAACAATACTACAGGTGTAGGCCCGAAGACGTCACTGTGGATCAAATCCAGAATCCCTTTTGCTCTCCCTCCTATGGATTCAAAAGATACCCGCTTCTATTTCCTATGTAAACAATGTTAACAAAATCCAAAACCCATAGAACAGCTTTGGAATTCCATCCACCATCTTCTTTGAGGTAAGGATCATCAGCCCTTTTTCACCGATATGACCCAATCTCCGATGCCATAGCATCGAAAGATCTTTTTCCACCTGCTCTGAGATATAACTCTCACCGCTGATCATTGTGCTGCCTAATAACGTCCACAATTTTTCATACCGTTCGCCTCTGGCTATCACCATAGATCCACGGGTTAGTTTGCATGAATATTTGTCGCTAGCGAAAGTAATGCCAGCATCTGCCATAGTTCCCACAGAATTAAGATTCCTCGTAAGATCGGGAATATGCATCACATCCAAAAGATTCTTGATTGTCTCATCTTTCATCGTTAGCTTCACCTTTCCGCAACCAACAATATCAAGCACCGAGTCATCCCCCATTTGCACTGTACCTCCCTGATATGGCTCATAACAGCAAAACCAATCTCTATGAGGCGTCATGTGGAAAGACGCTCCACTATCAATTATCCATGCATTGCAGTCACGCTGTGATGTATTGTAGACGAGATACATGTCTCCCGTGCCGTTGTCATCTTCCTTCTTTGTACTAGAGGATGATGCCTCATCTCGCTTCTCTGGACCTATACTTTTGCTTCTGCAATCTTTTTTCAAGTGCGCAGGCTTTTTGCACTTGCAACACATTATTTCGAATCGATCTCTGCTTTTAGATCTTCCTCAAAACTTATTCCTGCCACCAAATCTGGATTTAGATCGTTCACTGTTCCTTCCCCTTACAAAAAGAGCATCTTGCGTTGTACTATCAGAACCTGCTCTCCTCATCTCCTCAGACAATAGAGCAGCTACAATGCTCTCAAAGGATAATGCACTAACACCAGTGCTAATCGAAATAATTATATGTTCCCATGAATTCGG